ATGATGATGATGATGATGATGATGATGATGATGATGATGATGATGATCTCTTAGGCCACGCGTGCAAGGCACTGGAAGAACCTGATTATGTGGGTTGATCTTCTGAATCGACTGAACAAAAGAGCGAAGATCCCGGCAACAGCAGTGGGCTGAGGGGCGTCCAGGACACCCATGGTCCAGGATGCTCCTGGTATAGATGCATTTGTCATGGCAAAAAACAAAAACTCCGTGAGGGCCTTCTTCGTCGACAAAACACGACCAAGGTGGGGCCTTCTTCTTCTTGTCGAAGTCGGTCTTCTCCTGGTGCCGGCTACTCGGGCAGTATCTCTGATGTGATCCGGCAAGAGTGACAACAGAGTCATGCATCGCAAAACCCATCAGATAGGCCCCCATATATGTTCTGCTTTTGGGTCATGTTTCATTGATTCTCCAAGTGTCGAGTCAAGCATTCTAGTCCACCATCTAGTCATCCCACACCGGACCCTGCTTTCCAGGCATCGAAAGCTCAGAGTTCCTCTCATCGCACCCTCCAGTTCCTCACATTCCTCGTATATTCCATGTGTTTTGCTTTTGTCCTGTTTTTTGTTGTGCCAATAAGAGCAAACTTTGCCAACGGCTCGGACTTGACAGATTTCGCGGAAATGAATCAACATGAACATAATCATTTTGCTAGGAGACAAAATCTGTCAAGGGAAAGCCAATGGAAATCCCAGACCTTAGTGGAAAACAAGTTCGGAACATGACACAAACTCTGAGATTCTGCTGAGACCATGTTTTCCCAGGAATGTAAATTAAGCTTTGAAAGAATAACTAGTTAGTAACTAAAAGCTCCAAGAACTATGAAGCCGAACCTTTAGTTCCGCGAGCACAGGAACACGACAAATAAAGGAGCCCTTACGGGAAAAATAAACAAAAAACACGGCGAGGAAGATGTGACAGGAAAAGACCAAAAAACCAATAGGGTTGATGGCATTCAAAAGGAATTAATTAAGGAGCATGTACATGTTTGCCGAGGCATGAATAGAAATTTACAAGAACACTATGGAGGACGTTCATGTTGGTCTTTAGTCGAACATGAAATGGACAAGGGGCAATGAAAGGAACTTAAAAGAAGCTGTATGAGATTGTATGACGTTACTACAACAGGCCACCAAAGCTTGACCAAACCTGGGAACAAATACAGCACACTAGGCTTGACATAATCTGCTCCTTTGTGTACTTCTTTTCTTCAATTTCATTGTATGAGGCGTCGTCAAAATCAATTGTTTAGGACCGGTGCGAAAGTGAAAGTTTGTTTGCTTTTTTGGTGGGGCTTTCGGTTCAAAGTGGTTTTGAGGAAATCAACGTGCTGGATCGATGCAGCACGTTCTGTCGTTCTTTGTGTCGTTTTCCTTCCTTGCTGTCTTTCCCTTCGAAAAACGCAGGGAATCGATGTGGAAGACATGATGTACACCATGCAGCTTTGATCGGTCCCCGTTCAGCTGGGGAAACCATCCAAAAACACACGTCGAAACCAACGCCCCTCCGGCTCGGCCGTCTCTCCTGCGGCTCCAGAGGCTCCTCCTCCTCCTCCGGAAGTTCTGTCCTCCAGGAGAGTTCAGGAACGTTCGTCCCGGTGAAAACGGGAGGTTGCTCTGGAAAGGATGACCCTTCAGCGGAAAAGACCTCATGCTGTGATCTCGGTCCAGGTGCTTGGTCTGTTTGGAAGTGTTTTCGGAATCACCAGCATGTCAATGTGAAAGAATGACCAGCTCAGCGTGGGCAGAAAGCAGTCCACCCGAAGCGTAGGGGAGGTGGCAAGCATCACCGAGTTCTATCGGCGTGGTCCCGAAGGTGGCGAGCATCTGTTGCACACGGTGAGCACAAGCTGGAGCGTGCATACCACAAACCCATGTCACTTGGTTGCATTGCATGGTTTTTGGTTTTGGGCTCCCAACCAAAGACCCTCCAAGCGAAATGGTCTCGCTGCGTTATGATGCAAACACCTGACAGCATGATAGCGTTATGAGTCCGTTGGCATGTTTGGAGAATCGGCCCAAGCTCTGTGTGGCATTCACCTTGAATGAGTGGAGTGCCTTCACACCGCGTGCCAACACACACGGCGAACACGGCGTGAGTTCGCGAATTCATGTTGACACCTGAACTTGGAGTGTGCACCATTAACCGTGTTCTAGCATGGGAATGTCTTGGAACTATCAAACATGTATAAATTGGTCTCATTCTCGCTCATTCTCGTGATTTTGGCGAGGACATGTGAGGTCACCATTGAGGATTCTCCCTGGGTTTGTCCCAGTGCCCAGAGATTGCTGGACTTCATGGAACCCTTCCAGAGTTTTTTTACTTCTGAGTGTGTGTCACTGCCTGCTCTTTCGTCATCAACTCTGATCTCTAGGGAATGCAGTTTGCTGAAGTTCGGTGGAAGAAAAAATAGCGCACAAAGGATAAATTGCAGGTGAGCTGTTTAATTTCTCCCTAACTGGTGACTGGGATGTCTCTGATATGGAGCCACAACATGGATGGAACGCAAAACATTCACAGTCTTCCAACTCTTCTATAGGGAAATGGATCCCTCAAAATGTTAAAGTTTTTTTGAAGGTTTAAGACTAAGTGGCAGGAATAGGCGGCCAATATTTTAAAAAACAACATTGTGTTATATGTTTAGTTTAGTATAATCCTGTGTATATACTATATAATTTGGGTCTATCCTATTACCAGTAACAGTGGATTTTTAGTGGATTTATGTTTTCGGCTTTCAATCTTATCAAGATACGTTTTGTATGATGATGGTTCAGTTGCAGGCTGCAGGCCTATATAATGGTTTACCGACTGCTTCAGGTCAGTTCGGACACCTCTGTTGTTCCCCGAGCTCCCCAACCCCTCCGCAACCTCAAACCCCATCCCAACGGTCGTCAGCGCTGAGTCGAGCCCGGACATGGGTGGCGAGTAGGGCACCTCCTGGCCACTGAGTGAGACGGTGCAAGGGTGCGAGGGGCCAGTTGCGAACGGGACCGGAGTTGGGTGCGGTGTAGGAAGATGTGGGTTGTGTAGGATGTTTATAGGGAAGAGGGGTCAATGCTCCGAATCTATTTGAAGGGGGTCGGGACGCCTGCAGGGCCTGCAGGGTATGACTTAGTGGCACTAACAACACCCCCAAAAGCCCTGGCTGGGTTCCTGGCAACTTGCAACCCCCGCGAACAAACTCTGCAAACCAGGGCTTGCTCCAGTACCTCTGTATCTAATTAAACAGGACCAAAATTGATTATAAACATTATTAAACAAAGACTAGTGTTCATGGTTGCTTCAGCAACGATGTGTGTCGAAACTGAGCAAGGATGAAAGCAGCGATCTTCATTGCAGGCCTTGAACCCACCGCCCGTCAACAAACACTAGCTGCCAAAGCAGTTGTGAAGAGAAAATATAGTTTTTACTAATATAGTCTAGTGCTAATATACTAGTACTAATAGACACATTCTTCCATTCGCATGGATGGTCTGAGATCTGAAGACGTAACAAATTGGAGAGCGCGGCGGTGTTTCTGGTGTCTGGCCCGCCAGACCCTGCCTTGGCGGTATCGTCCTCCTGGGCGGCTGGGGACCCTGTGGGACCCTGTCGGAGCTCGCCAGCACGACCTCTTGGCTTGAAACCCCGTGTTGACTCTCACCATCAACCACTTTGAACGGAAGTTTTTATGGATCTTATGGTCATGGCCGACTTTCAAACTGCAAGGGCCAAATGTTGGATCTTCTCAAAATGAATCGTTCATCGTTCATGGTCACGATCGGGAGGCGGAACCCAAATATACACAACGAAACCTCTATACTAGTTTTTGAAACACTGAGAGATCTGAGAGTGGCATTGCAATTTGAGGCATTACAACGGTTTGGTTCCTCCACCATATGGGAACACAAAAAATTGCACATTGAGATGAAATTTGTCCATGTTGCATCAACAATGAACATGTTCATCTTTCAGGGGTGGGGCCCTGGGCCTTGGAACTGTCACTGAGAGGAAATGCCTGTGAACCCGATCTTTTTGAGGATACATGAGGATACGTTATCCATTTGGTTTCTCTACCAAGCGCCATTTCCAATGAATCGGACGTCTTTGGGATCCTGATCAACGCTGAAGAGGTGCCTTTGGATCCAAACGGTTTCGACGAGCGTGACGAGCGCGCGTCGCTTCCCAAGACTGCCCTGCAAATCTCCGGGGGCCAAGGAACCATATTTTCCTTAGATTTGTCATGATTTGTCCACTTTGTCCGAGGTCAAGACGGGAGGATAAAACACACAATCCGGAATCGTGAATAACAATGGGTCAACCATGTCAAGCGCCATTTCACTGTGATTTGACATGTGCTTTGGGGCCTTGATTCAGATGTGTATATATATATATATTATGTGATATATGACTACTTATGATTATGTTATTATATACGTTATGTTTTTGCTCCAGCTCCTGCTGGATAAACTTGGTAGACTGAACCCGACCGCCGATCGAAGAGTTGCGAAAAAATATTGGCAAATCTGAAAAGACATGTTTGTCCTCAAGGGCGGAATTCATTCACTCTTCTGGTGGAGGTGTCTGGTGCTCTGGGACACGCACCTTTTTCGATAACATCAGCCCCACGCTCCCTAAATGGACGGCCCGTCCCTTTTCCTTGGAACGTGAACGTGCTGGTTGGATCTCTGATCCCCTTCAGATCTGGTTGCCTAGTGCAACCTGCAAAAGTCGTTGAACAAAGTTACGTGTGCATACGTTACGTGTGCGAAGCTGTTTCCACAAACATCCGCAAACCAAGTGACGCACAACAGGGGAGCGCTTCTATAGCAGCGCTGCAAGCGTCTCCCATCAGGGCGTGGAGCCATGTCGCAATTGCGGAAGATGGCCAAAAGAATCCAAGCACAGAAAAGGAGTGCAAGGGAAGGAGCCCTACAGATGAGCTGGTTTCAGAGTGAGCAAGAGGGTGCGGCCCAGAGACCAGTCGCGGAAGAGGACAGCCTTGGAGGCGCGTACTTCTCCAGCGCGCACCCCTTGCCCAGTGCGGCGTACACCTCGGCCTGCCAGGCACGGATGCCATCGCGGAACCTTTTGGGGGCTGTGGCTCCTCAGGAGGGCCTACGGAAGGGGGTTAGAAGTCAGAAGGTCACCCGCCAGATCCGGTCACTGGACCATGGGTGGGCTGCGTAGCAAACGCAAAGGCGCCCTCAACACAGGAAAGGGATCAAGGAGAAAGGCAAAGCGCTGGTGTGAAACCTTAGCTGCCCATTGGCGGAATAATTGTTGAAATGTGGCTTGGGGCCACCGAGCAGCCCTCACGGTGCCAGCTCCATGAGGAGGGTGGAGGTTCAGAAGACGACTGAAGACCATGCAAGATCTGGGTGGTGAAACCAGTGAGTGGACCTCGGAGGTTGGCACTGGGGGTGCACCAACCCCTGATGCAGGCCCCGCAAAATTCACAACCCCATCGGGCTTTTGGAAGGTGGGGGAGTACTGCTCAAAATTTGGGGACAAGCCAACGTGCGCAAAACCGGGCGGTCTTCCCATGGCTTCGACAGCCGTCATCCAAGCCCGCTCACGAAAAGAGAAGGGGGCCCGTCAAGATCCTTTGCGCCCCATCGCCTTCTCAATGGCATTGGCGGAGAGGGGCCCCCGCAATGAAGTCATCGAGTCATCGAGCATCTGAATCTGGATGACCTTGGTGTGTTTGGGCGCCGCGATCTGCACCCGTGGAACCTGAAGATGAATGACAAAAGCCCGGCCAAATTGACCTTTGCCAAATTGGGCCGCGCTGGCTCCGGCAGGGGGAGGAGGTCGTGGCCAGCGAGCTGACAGCTGGAGGTCGGTGATGTAGAGACAGGCCACTTCTCCGCTGGCGCGTGCATCAGCCTCCTCGTTCGCCGCAGGGTCCGGGGCGAACAAGGGGCTATACTAGAGGAGCGCCGTGCTGCAATTCCAGGTCCTTCTTCGTCTGCTCCAGCTCTCGAACCTGTGAAGGTCCAAGCTGTGGACCATAACCTCATCGCCTCTGTGGCTTGGTGTGCGAACCTACCGAGCGTTTTCAGAATATCGTGCCCAAATGTCCCGGCGGGGCATTTTGGTGGCTTATCGTGAACATAAACCTTGCAAACGCAGGCTAAATGCAAGTCGCGAGCTAAATGCAAGTGGAATCTGTTCCTGACCAGTGGATTAAGCCTAGGGGAAGTCCATGCCGTGTTGTCAGTCAGTCATGAGTGATAAGAAAGAACTGCTTTTTGGATGTAGACCTTGCCGTGCTCTTCTTGGTGGTATCGCATTAACCAACTCCAGTTCAGTTTCAATAAAGTTGATTGGAGGAAGGCTCGGGTTGCATGCGCTATCAAGACTAGACTCATGCTTTGACCCGATTCGCCACTACTTGACATTGGGAGACGTGCAACTGTTGCTACTTCAGTACCGTGAGCAGTGAGTTCTTGGGCCCCTTTTCCCACTGAGGTCCGATCTCGCTGGCTCCGACGGGACGCGACTCTTGAGCGTCCCAAAAAAAGGCCGACAGCCTGCTAGTCTAGCTGCTAGTCTAGCAGGGACCGCCCACACCGCAGCTGTTTTTCGGTCAAATGCTTTCTCCAACTCGTGGAAGAACGGTGCTTGGAAAGATCCCCGACCAAAAAAAAGACGCTAGGTGATATATATCCTTTGTGATATTAACGACCAATGATCATCGTTATTTAAATACGTGTAGTACGGACTGAATACGGAGTTAGTGGGATCGACAATACCAAACCGTGTTCTTTTGACCTTTTAAGAAAATAAGGGCCCCCATAAGATTAAACCGAACCGGCAATGACTCACTCATTGGCTGCACACCAAACGCGGATCCGGACCCACCATCACCCAAACTCTTCTCGCTCGTCTCGTTCCATCCGGTTCCCCTCAATTCTCGCTCCAGGCACAGGGATCACCACATCCTTGTTGGTGGTGCTTGGAACTGCACAACATGATCCCTCAGAACAGGTCGCACCACATGATCCCCAGCGAGTTCGCGCGAGGTTTCAGCGCAGTCGGATCGAGTAGAACACCATATTAGGGGCTTACACTATATAGTGAACTATAGTGATGTTCCCGGTTTCTGACATCCCATAGGCCTTGACATCATAAAACAAACAGCCTTGGGTGAGAAATCCGCATAGATTTTGTTGAGCGTTGACTGAAAGTGTCCAGAATTCGACCCGAATTCCCGTCGGTCTTGCACAGCTGGACACTGAGAGGTGTCTGGAATGTTTTGGCTAACCGCTAGAAGACCCACAATCCAACTTTCAGTGACCCGGAATGAATGGTGCTGCATGGAAAAACAATAAAGCATCTGGAGACCCTCTGAGACTCAGACCCACATGGCTTTCGTCAGCTGCGAGCGAGCCAGCTGCTGTGTGTCAGGATGAATCGAAAGCACTCACATGCAAAATTAAACAGCTCCTGGCTCAAAGACCTTTGTACGGTGTAAGCATGTCTTACAATGTGTTTGGTGATTCTTTAATGCAATTGATACTTGGGCTTCTTTGTTCGCACGCGGAGGATCTAACCCGAGCCAAGAACGGTCATCGGTCACAGCGAGCTGGGGTCTGGAACGGGTCTCCCTCGCGTCTGGATCTGGGTCAGACCTCAGCACTGATGACCAAGTCCAACAGCTCACAGACCCAAGATCTGCACCATCTCAGACCAATCGGCCCACTCCCATGTAGGATGGTCTGGCTTCGTCTCCACCGATCCATTTCCTTCAACCCCCTAGGGTTCGAAGCAGATCCTCAAGATCGGTGGTTAGACCCCCCCAAAAAACACCCAAGCCATTCAAGCCATCTTCGAAACGGAGGTAGATCAGGAGCCCATCATCCCCGCCACGTCGGTCCATGTCGCTCCACGGTCGATCTGGTGTCCCAAGATTCGATAGTCCACCGCCACGACCATGACTCCAGCTTCGGCCTCTGGTCTTCGAAGCCCCCGAAACGGGCGAAGGAACGTAACTTCCCAGAGCCTCCATGTATGGTGGCCTGAAGAATATGCCATAACTACCATATATAAGTTACCATATAATATACTATCAACATATAAACTATCAATAATACCATATACTATCAATAATACCATATATATATATATACCGGACCCTCCAAGGGGTGTCCAATGGACTACCCCACAAGACCTATAGGCTTCCATTGGGGACCCCTTGGAGGGTCCTGGTATATATCTAACTACCATACGTACCATATAATATACCCATCGATGCGTATGGTCCAAGAGAAAGTGAGGTGGCACATGATTGGACCCTTTCAGCCATGTGAGGCAGGTCCTTTGTCATTGAAGTCTTTCAATATTCTTTCCATACCAGCGACAGGAAACCGATCTCCCAAATCCACGTCCGGTGATCCAACCACACTCTGAACACATGGAAGTGGGCTGGAATCCCTGGAAAGACCATAGAAATCCATGAAATCCTCTACCCTACCAGCACAATACCCTAGCATACCCTAGCCAACTATGGCGGATTCCCCGACTCGGCCAAACGCGAGCCCTTCGATCCACCGTTCGGTTGGAGCGCAAGTCCGAAAGAACAGCTTCGTTTTGGGCAGGTCGTTTTGGCTCAGAATGTGGTCTCCTTTTGGAACGGGAAGAAGATGGAAGAATAGTTATCGAGGGGTCAGTGCCAGCACCATAGACACAGAAGTAGCTTCGTTGTGGAAGCCACAGACATAAACCCGTCCCGGTCGCTCCGCATATTGCACATTTACCCACATTGGGGTGGTTTGAGGGGTCAATGTAGGTGCTCATCACGTTTCAAGAACCTTCTTGGACCAGTGCCAAACATGCATCTTCTTGGATGATATAGGGATGGCAAGCAACCCTTCCTCAAACACTGGCTAGCCAATTCAAGAAACCCATTCGTTTCGCCCTTTTTAGTCGCACCAAGGCGCTAGTCTCCATGCAAGCAAGACGTTCCAAAGCCTTGCCATTTCGGGCCGTTTTCGGTCCCAACGGGCTGGGAGAACGAACCGAACGGAACCCGAGTTCACGATGTCCGGCGGAACCCCCGAAAGCACGGGGAAAACCGGTGCTAAGTTATAGACCCTCGTCCGGCCAAACATTTCGATGCAGTCCTCTGTTCTGATTAAAGCAACACGGACTCTGAATGCAGTGAATGTGCACCTTTCATAAACGCCTGTGATTTGCCGCTATGGGAGCTCTTGTGAAACTGCATTCTGTGAGCTCAGCAGCCATCTAATCATGCTCTAATTCAATCGTGTGGATATGTTTGGACGTGTCCCAGTCTTGGTGGCAAACAAACATAAACGAACAGGTTCCAATAGACCACGATCAAATGAAGCACCAGAGAGCTCCATCTGCGCGACCAGACTTGGAAGATCTTGGAAGACTCTTTTGCGTTGCGCGTTGATGAATGACACGACGAGTGGCCGGTGTCCGATGACCCAAGCTCCGCCCATCACGGTGATGACCACGGGCGCGGGATGACCGGCAGCCTCGAGGCGTCGCCCGGGGAAGGCGCGTGCGGGGCAGCGGTCGTGCGGGAAGTGACTGAGCCCGTTCGGATGTGGGCGAGGTTTGTCTGGTACTGGTGATCTGCACCAAATACTGTCCAAGATACACGTCGCTGGTAGAAAAGCCCGAGGTCAACTACTTCCGAACTGCAGAAGGCTGTAAAATGCTGTACATGCTCTGTGTGTGTTGTTCCTTTTTTACAAGTACCAAATGGACCAAATGTAAGTGTTCTTCGTGCTCCCCGCCAGTTATCTCTCTAAGCGGGTCTTGTCCCCAGTCTGATCTTTCACAACTTGGGAAAGCCAAGCATTCGCGCGGCAAAGTTCTGTCGTGCATGATGGGCGAACTCGCAAGCCCTTCTCTCAGTGGACCATCCGAGACTACCATCAAGGTGCCCCGGTGTGTGGGACCCATAAGCAGTGTAGGGTGATCTATGTTCATGAACCCCAAAGCCCAAAGCCCGTGGTCCCTGCATGGTGGTAAAAGAAGTCTCTATCAATTCTTAGTGCCTTATGACGTTTCTCTCTCCGGCTTCTTGACGCCATGTGGCGTGGTTTGTCTATTTAATTCCGCTCTCCATCCGCCCAAGCTCCTCAGTGGGCAGGTAGATGTCCAAGAATTGTCGAGGCCTGCGGACTAGAGGGAGACAGGCCGAAGAGAATGCCCTCTTCGCGACTGGAAGGGAATGCCCTCCCCCAGCCGATTCAGAATGACCATTGACGTCTATCTGGATCTATCTGGATCTATCTATCTGGTACTATCTTTCAGGACACTTCAGGACCATCCCACGTGCGGAAGAAAATGGGAGCACACAGACTTGCTTGTCGTAGACCTGTCTTGTCCATTGGTGGTCCTGGCTGATGAGGTTGCTGCAGGTGTCGCACAACTAGGGGCATTGCTTAATAACTTTAAAGGCGAGTCGTTAACTCTGGGTACTTCATCCTGAATCGTGATGTATGTTGTGCGTTGGATGTGTGTGCTAGCCCGGCGAGGACGGCCCTAAAGTGAAACCCATTTATTCTTTTTCCAGACATGCGCTGGAGGTCTGTCGAAACTTGGAATTGGCATGAATTGGCAAGATATGTCTTTCTTTCTGCAGCCTTGATGTTCCAAGTTCCACAAGTTTAAAAGCAATTCAGGACCCCACATCTGAACGAGTGAACGAGAATGCCTCACTGGGGATCTGGTATGCTAGGTGGAGGTGTGTGTGCCCCAGTTTCGCCCAGTTTCGCCCAAGTCCCCTCCATCGAGATGCACATGCCTTGAGCCGTAGCTCACAGCACGCAAGATGCGCCTGGATGAGTGGCATGAGTGCCACGGCTTGGCTGGCGCATTGGGTTTTGCGGGTGAATGGCTGGCGAAAACTGGCTGGCGCATTGGGTTTTGCGAGTGACCCGTCCAGTCATGGGAGTCTGAGCATTGACATGTTCCACGTGTGAAGGGGGGGTTGTTCCATGATGTTCACAGGAGACGGAGTTACTGGAGGTGACCACTCTCCATCTATTTCTATGGGTGAATTCGAGAAAGGACCGTGGACATCTGTCCTGTCTGGCTCCCCCAAATGGTTGTGTCAACCTGTGATCACCCAAACCATGAAGGCACACGCATGCAACTTTTGACGTCAAGAATCACCGTCGCAGTGAAACCAACCCAAACACTCCATGTATGCTATGCCTACATTGACCCCCAAAACCACCCCAATGTAGGCATATCGTAATATATATATGACTGCTGGTAAACCCAACACATTGATTCACCAGGCGGTCCGGGCGGGCTGCGGAAGTAGGAGAGGCCGATGCGCAAGCAGGCGGGCAAGATGAGCAAAGCCTCAGACCACCGGCGATGTCGGAACTCCACCAGTGGCGCCACCGCCAGTCACCAGGTCACTTGGTCACTTGGCCTTGAGACATCTCTGTCGGCAAGGGTTTTCCTTGTATCCTCCTGATTTCAGTGACTTTTCCACGGGTTTAGGAGAGTAGGGCAGTTGCAGAAGCTTCTTCAGTTTGTAGAATTAAAATCCATCCAGACAAACCAGATACAAAACTGGTCTTATGAGAGGAAAAACACCCATCCGGAAACTAAGTTAACAAGAACACCGACAATCACCGACATCGCTTATGACTGCTGTGACCCCATCCTCCGCGCCGTCCGGCCCATGCTCGAACCCACCGGGCAGCGAAAAGCACCAATCGCAGCAAGCCCACCTGGCGAAATCGCCAGTGGAACCGGCACATCCGGACTTGAACATCACTGGTGACTCCCGATCAGGCTAGCGGCTAGGGTTGGTTGATTGGTAACATCATGGAACCTCAAACATTCTGAAACCATCCAAGTACTGTATAAAACTGTACACCTCGCCCTTCGCCGGGAGCCGGTGGTAGCTGTTCACAGTTGATTCCTGGAAGATCCAAAATACCATTGCCCAACAAAGCACAAAAAACAATTTCGCAACCCAAGTCATTCTTCTTCTTGTTGATTTAGAAACTCAGGCAAGGAGCCGGGGGCACCAAAAACGCCAAGTACGACGCTTGCTTCTCATGGGGGAGATCCAGCTGGTCTGGATCTGCTTGTTTGCAGGCTAAGAATGGAAGTGGAGTTCTTGGTTTTCCTTGTCTAGGTTTGTCACAATCGGTTTGGAAGGGTCCAAATAGGCTTCACCATGTTTCACTCATAGGTTGGTCCAAACCCCATTTCGGCCAGTCTGACCTTGCCCTCCCTCGCCCACGCCGAGGCACCAGCAACGCCTCCGCGGAACGGAGGTGCCGTAGAACTGGGTGCCCTGGCGATCGAAGGCGTCGCATCGGGCCGATCGGCGCGTTCACCGCTGCGAGCATCGGTGGCGAACGCTGGAGGTGGTGAGACATCGGTTGAAGCCGAGTCGAAGACGAAGAGGGTAAGAAGGCAACGAAGCGACGCCAACGACAGGAGGGCAAGATCGAAGAAAAGAGCAACAAACAGCACCACCCTGTCCGGGTGGTTTATAGACTAAAAATGTATGTTCCATCCGATTACCACCCTTTGCTGCTGGAATATATGTCTAATATGCATAATATGTAATATAAGTGTCTCTCAGGAGGATTGGGATGATTGGGACTCACCCCCCGGCTTGAGCCGCTCCATCGCACGATCATCGCATCATTGAGCAGTCCAACAAGTCGTTTGTATTATTTTGCATGTTCACAAAAGGACCTGACCAATGCAGGGTTCAAACAACATGATCCAGGATTCATCCCGTTGCTGAGTATTGCCATTAACCTGCCTGATAGGTCCCCAAATCTTTCACACACACACACAAAAAGAAAAACATTAAAACACATGCGTTCAATCACTTTCTCGTCTCCCGCTGCAGTTGCCAAAGGCTGAAGTTACGGAAGTGCCCATGCTACTTGCTCCTTTGTGCTTTGCTGCGAGACAAAAAGCCGCAAAACGCAAAACCAAGTTTTGGTGGCCAGCAGCTGCAGCTCAGCTGACCAGGATGAAAACAATGAAGCCCCCAAATGCCAGGATTCAAAAACAAAAGCCCCCCGGCAGCAACGACACAGGGTGGGGCGGAGCCAGGGCGGGAAAGCCAAAAATGGCACACAGTCACATGTCTTAATTTATAATGCATTTTTGCAGCACATTGGGGCTTGAGCAGAAGGAGCATGTGCATGTGGACGATGGGATCTTGGAAGACTCGACTTCGGACTCAGGATACTTCAGTTGGGCATCCTTCCCCCAGTTCGACAGTTCTTCCAGAATTCCCCCTTCAAAAACGCAATCGGCACCGAGTCCCCGGGGTGCAGCGCACCTGGAAATCCCTTCCCAAGACTGCCTGCCAGAACGCTAGTCTCGAGGGTGTCAAGGGAGTCGCCGAACCGGGGGAAGATGGTACCGGTACAGTTGTTTCATGTTGTTTCTATACCTGGATCATCCAATGGGTCGCCAATAGACTACCTGACTAGCCTGCACTTTCTTTTGTGGACCTCCAAACAGGAGCACCCATTGGCTGATCATGGTATATTCCTCTGATGGAAGAAAGAATCCTACACCTGCCAGTTCACCAAGAACACTCGTAAAAAAAGGAATGGTGCTACATACTACATGGTGCTACAATTTCCATACCAGTATATCGCAGGTGCTATAGATGGTGCTACAGGCTTCCCTTCGGTGCAAAAAGTTAGAGTCTGATCTGTTCATGAAGGAACACGGAAGGTTTTGTGGAGAAGGAACAAGGCAAACGATATCAGCACTGCCTGGCGTTGTGGGTAAAACAGGATTTCTTCCGATCACCAGTATGACATCCAGTGTTGAGTCAGCTTACCTTTGGCGGGGAGAATGCTCACCGGGGCTTTTTGGAATCGCACAAATTCAAGACATAGGAACCCTTGGAGAAGATGGGGAACCGTCTTGCCAACATGGTCAAAACTTGCTATAACTCTTCCCGGGCTCCAAAGCGTCATACATCTAGAAAAAACCAACCTTACACTCAACAAAATCACACGACTATTCATGAGACAATGCCAACCGGCCAAAACCCCCTAATGTGTTCACCACTTGGAAAAGGCCTTTGGAGTCTTCGTCCCAGGGGTGTTTGCACTTCTTCTCTCCGCCATTTTCCACCGTCGGGGCCGCCTCGGCAACGACGAGAGCAGGCTCGGGCTCGGGACCTGCAGGGTGCCGAGCGACTTGGACCGTCTCTTGGGACAGAACTCATGGCCACTTCCAGGACACAAACCCAACATTCCACCACATCCCAACTCATTCCAAACCCAAATGAGCCATGCCAAAAACCTCTATCCTAAGCCCTTACATGGGAGTTTATGGCGCTGCTCAAATTGCTTCAGTTTAGATGGGTGACGCACCCAAACCCTGGCACCCGTTCCGCCGGGCGCGGTCGGCCTCGCGGGATTCGGTGGGATCCGATTCGGACGGACCCCACGAGATAGACCCACCGTACCGGCCCCCCCGGAAGAGCAAGACGGAAGGCACCAACTGCCCCGGAAGAGCGTGAACAAAGATTAAGAGAAAGACTCCAAATCATCCTAAATCATCGTTTCTTTCTCCCTCTAAGAAGGGAAGGCGCGCCATTTTGATGGATGTCCTGTAGACTGATATCTCTTCGATTCTGTTCCACCCCCCCCATCTTCGAAACGTTTACTCACACCACGTCTGGCGTCACGTCTGGGGCGGGACGCTTCTGTCGTTTCATCACGTGTGACCCGCAGGTCCCTGTGTCCTGACGACGTCCGCTGACACGTCGACACGGAAGGCACTCGGGCACGCGTCGCCGGGGCGGGTCCGTCTCATCGGGTCCCACCTGGCAGGCGTTGGGATGGGCAGGAACTTGGCCTGAGTCGACACCGATCGACACCGATGCCCCGAGTTCGCGGTTCTCGCGGTTCTGCCCGCGGTGGAGCGCCGGAGGTCGAGGATGGCAGTGAGGAAGGGTCGAGATGGAAGGGGGTGACCTGCAGTGGGTCCCAGAGAGCTTTCTGGGTCTCATCGTCCATGGCAGGTCTCAAAAAATATCACGTCTAGGAGGGTGTTTTAGGGGTGATTGTGAAATGGAGTCTTTATATTAGTCGAGTGAGGCGAGTACAGGGTGTAGTTCATTGGTTAGCCTTTGGATGCTGTGGATGTTCATAGCCAAATCCCCAGCAACATCTATAGGCTTAGGTCAAGTTCATATATATGGCACCACCCTATACATGGCCATCATGGGCCTATCCCACTATAGACTTATAGGCTGCCTATAGCATCAGGTTGCAAAAACTCCATGAAGGATCCTGAAGGACCATCGCATCGCATCTTCAATCGAGATGAGAACATCTCATCTATTGGCACATGGTCTCGATGAGCCCCGTCCTCGCACATCGTTTCACTAAAAAGGCCCTTCAACTCTGTCAGCGCCTTTTGAGTGCGCAATGAACACAATGGAAAACGTACTCTGCTGAGACTGTTGTGTTTCAAAACCGGACCGCCACCTGTTACGGGCCAAAGAAATGCCAAATGTCAGAGTGCCATCATGTGAACCATGTGCCATTCTCCACAGGAAAAGAACGAGCCAGAAGCCTCAACATGCACGGCATTCACGTGTTCTACGTATGTTTGGGAAATCCAGCACACACCAGTCAGTGGACCAGCACAAAAGATGTTCAAGTCGACTCCCTTTTCCTCCACCACGGTGGCAGACGACGGCTCTTTTCCGCCGACTAGTCGACTTTCGGCCGTTCCCGCCAAGCGCGGTAGAACCAGAAGGGCAGTGACAGCAGCGCGTCGAACCTGAGTTTCTGGGGAAGTCGAAGGCGAAGCCAAAAGCAGGCATCAAGGAAAAGAAACTTTGGTTACCTGGACCTTCAAAGGGGTTACCAATGGAGATCCCGGATGGTAGTGTAGGGGCTTCCATTGGTGACCCCTTTGAAGGTGCTGGTATCTTGTTTTTTTAAAGTGTTTTTTCATGGGGTGAGGTGGAGCAACTCCGGAAGCCTCCTGACACTTGGACAAATGATAAAAAATAAGAGGCGCATCGTATATATTCTAGCACCACGCAAGGATTGTGGTCTATAAACTACCCTTTGGGTGTTGCTGGTATATTAAGTCACTAGTCGTCTTGGATCTTTTTGGCTTTCTTGAACATCTTCGTTTTTTCCCGGGACTTCCGGATGCTCTCAACATCTCACAGCTCCGTTGTGGGGTTCCCGGACATGGAAGAGACCCACATGGAACCTGAAAACCACTGGTTGTTGTACTAGGGGATGACAGTCTTCCAAAGGTCCATGCTATGCTTTCATGTGGGTCTCCGAACGCCAGCTATATCCACATATATCCACCTTGAGCTGGGTGTGTATACATCATCCCGATCTCCATGCCATATTCGACCCCTGTGGGGCCATGTGCATCCGACCATCCAACCACTCCCACCACTTAAGTGACTGGAATCCAGTCATCGCTTTCCAGACCGACGCGATCTTCGCAGATCCAACAGAGGTTGAAGAAGGTCCCCAGTTTGATCTCCGGATGCCTATGGACTATCCCCAGTTGCATCTACCGACCCACAGGTACCCCAACGAAGAAGATCAGATCGGAGAACTATCCCACTTGGGGGTACCCCGAGGTTCGTTCGGGTCCTCTTATACAAACAACCTCTGTTGGGCTACCCCGGTCGCTCTTCTCCGATCCGATCCACGGTTCGGGGAGGCCGCGTACGCGGGCCCGCTTCCCTTCTCAGCTCAGCGACAGCTTCCAGTTCACCCAGTGTAGGAACAGCCGCAAGACGATGACCGCATTGGCGGCGATGGGAAAATCACGCTCAAAGATCCAAGTGTTGATGGCTTTGGGCACCTGCCACTTCCGGGCTTCTGGGCTTCCAGCGATGCTGCGACAAATGAGACACACGCACACACACACACACACACACCTCCTTGCCCAGCGAACAAATCAGCGCATTCTGTGGCCTTCCGAAACCATCCATAGGGGCATGGACATGATTGGATGATCCGTAGTCGAGTCTACCAGAGTCAACTTATATATGTCAGGGTCTTTTCCTGGTGCGACTCCTAGGTGGTCCCTTAAGGGAGATAGCCTCATTCGATATGGTACTACCTTACTTGGGATCCAGCCACCCTCCGATGACGAGTCGGTCCAAGTCGGCCAATCGCACCCGCGCCCCGGATGTGGGGCCCGAAAGACCTGGAAGTGATGGCGTGCCGAAGTAGAACCCGTGTCGACTCATTTGACCTCTGGTTTTGATAGAAAACGAATGAACAAGACAACTGTTTGGCTCCAAAACAGGGATCAATCAGGCATGTGTGTGTGGGTGGGGGGAAGGTGCCTGGTGCATGCCATGGTGGAACTGCTTGATCAGTATGAGGCTTTGGTGAACACGGTGCAGTCTCCCGAATGTGCAGCACCAAGTTAACTTTGACTATGAGGCCACTCATTGCACCAACCGTTATCTTTTCCAACTGTTCAACCTGAGGTGCGTGTGAATAATTAACGCAATTGAATTTCATGATATGTTAGGACCAGGTAGTGGCTAACCCTGGGAGTAGCTGTGCTTCCTTGGGCGGATGCTCTGTTCGCTGGCCGCTGGCCTTGCCCTTCTTGATGCAGGGATCAATGCCCAGGAAGTTGCACAACTCTTCCTTGAATTTGCTGACAGGCGACAAGAACGAACACTGGCTTTGAATATGAAAAAGACCTTCATGCAGGTCTCAAAGCATCTGAGTGCACTCGATCCTGAATTCACACATATGTCATATTATGTCATATGTCCCTTGTAAAAGAAAAACACTGAGCAATTCCACTGCCAGGCTTCCAAGGTGTTCTTTCGCGGATCCCAATCAAAGATTTGCTCTTTGGAGAAGTACTTCTTAGCCTTGCCGTAGAAGTCCTGCCAGCTTCGCACTACGTGTCCGCGCGCGAGACGCTGATCTTGCACCAGGACACATGGCACAGGCGCCTCGCGTGCGGTTCGACGCGTTGGGTTCCCGAATTCTACCTCACCCAATTGACACGAACGAACTCATCGGCACGTGGATGGGGCATCCACGAAGACTCGGAAGACCCTATGCCACGAAGACTCCGAAGACCAAGCAGGAGGCGAACTCTGCCGAGTTCGAGTCATCGACCCTGACAGCCCACGAGTGGACAGAGGTCAGGCCGGAAGAAGCGGAAAACACCGCATACCAAGCAGCGCTTCAAATGCTCTCTGAAGGGGGCAAATTCAACATCAAGGACCTACATGGACCTACTAAACCTTTCGAGGGCTGAGCACCCAAAGTCTTTCACAACCAAACTACCATAGAAAAACAAAGACCGACCAGGCCTCTGTAGGCCTTTTTGTGGTTCTGCTTCCTCAATGCCCTCTTCCTCTGTCTTTTTTGGGTGGGGGTGGGGACATATAAAAGCTTATATAGCTTCCTGTTGACTGATATACCTTCTCTCCTGGTACTCCTCCTCCGTCTGCGGAGCAATTGAGGTTGATGGTGGCGTCCAACATTCATACTGCCTCCGGTGATTCCTCGGTTGAGGTGGTTCCTACCGCTCATCATGTGTCAGGTCATGTTTTGGAGGGTGGAACAAAAAGGACGGTTTGATGATCAAAGTTTGATGGACATTGTTTGGTCCCATAGTAGACAATACCAAATATCGCTGGGAGAATCCCAGGGTCCCATAGTAGACAACACCAAATATCGCTGGCAGAATCCCAGGGTCCCATAGTCTTTTTCACACTTTTTTTCACCAGTGGTAAACTTGAAGCTCTGTTCACCAGTTTAAGCTGGCAAAGACTCGGCCTAATTTAGAATCTTGATTAATGACCCCATCCGGACATGGAGTGTAAAGCCTCTTCAAGCCTGGATGGTTGAAATATTTTTGTTGACTCTACATTGGGTCTATCCCATTACCAATAACCAACAAATGATGCTCAGTAAATTACAGGCTTTACCAACTGTTACAGGCAATGGGACAAACGCTACATTAAGTTAGGATGATCAGGTTCCAACAATCCACACACTTGGAACCCCAAACGCCTCCCGGCCCGCACCAACCGTGGGGTTCCCCTGTGCAAGCCGTTCGGATGAAAGCGAGCAGCAACAAATGGTTGTAGCACGCAATTTACGATGTTGCTACGTGATGTAGCAAAACAACACGTGCATGAACTATAATGTCATCGTATCACATTAATATGTTAAATATATATATATTATATATACATTCAGTGTGTATGTATGTACACTGTATATATGTGGGTTCAATAATCTTCAGGCAGGTAAGGAATGAATGGCAAGTTTGGACAGGATCTGTTCAAAAGAGTTGTCTCAAATACTCATGACACTGGTTGAGTTGTGGAATGGCACAGTCCATGAACGGTTCTTCCTGCCAAGCTTCATGCTCTGGTGGTACAGCCAAACCATAGGACCGCCCACCTTTGCAAGAGAAGCATTTGGAAGATACTCTTGCAATCTATTGCCTAAAAGCACCCTTGACCTCAAACATCTTTGTAGACTTCATGCTTGAACAACACCTCTTTTGTCATATGTCTTCCTCACCTTTCCGCAAAGTCTACCATAGTCTACCAAGAAACACCACGCTCGGACACCCCAGGTCCTCACTCGGACACCACATCCTATTGGTCCTAACAACCTGCTTCACCTGCCTCGGTAATCGGCGGCCCACCACTGCGCAGGAGATGCTCCACGTGGCCACCGCTGAGGCGATCCAAAGGCTGCAAGAGCGCCAACCAGGGCAGCAGACCTCGCGGACGGTTGGCGCTTTCGAAGAGGTGTGCGGTTCAATCTGCTTCAATCATCCCAAGTACAGGTTGAAAAATTAAGAAACCAATCCGAAACCACCACCTAGTTGATTATAAATCCTCCCAACTCCGGTTTCCTCTGGACCTCAGTGAGGCGGGCCCAATTCTGCTCGTGCTTTTTGGAGAATGACCATGAATGACCCAAGTTGGGTGTGTGAAGTGTGCTGGTCTCAAGTGAGGTGGACTGGAGGGTGGACTGGAGAACATCTCCAGTGGCTTGGCCGCGATCTTCCGGGACGTCGGGGACTCGCGGGATGGGCAGCACGAAGATGATCGAAGATGTATTTGTTGGTTTGGGCAGCACAAGCACCAAGGCTATACCATGTGCAATCCATTTGCCTTGTTCTCTTGCTTCCACAAGACTTGGGAGCAGCACATAGCAACACTTGTAATGTGACCTGGGACCATCTTGAGATGTCTTGAGACGAGGTTTCGGTCAAATGGATGCTTCGAGTGACTGGTCGAACCATCATGTGAATCATCCGCGCATCGCCGGTGGCCACCGGCTGTTTTTGACGGTCAGATGGGGTGTAGGTACTGGTGTAGGTATTATATAGGTATGTGGAGGTGAAGCCGAACCCTGCCCTAGTGGTGACCCCTTGGACCTAGTGGTGACCTCTTGCACCTAGTGGTGACCTCTTGGACCTGGTAGTGACCTCTTGGACCTGGTGGTGACCTCTTGGACCTGGATGGTAGAAGCACCATTCCTGGCGCCAGAAATCCTGCCAGGCAAGCACTCAAGACTCATAAACATAATTCCAACATCCTGCTACGATGTGCCTGACACATACAAAGGTCAATATCTCGATCTCATTCTCTTGCCTTCTCTTCTCCAAACGAACCGCTTTTTTCTCCATCCCATCGGCCCCTTTTGATCGGAACATCAAACACATCAGACGTCTATATCGTGACTCCCCGAATCGCATGGTCTCGGCATGTCCAATGCCATCATCCCGCGCATACGATCCACCGATCCCTCCAACGATCCACCGATCCCTACAACGACCGAACCTGCAGGAGGCCGAAGCCCTTCGAAGCAGGTTTTGGACACGCAGTATCCTGGCCTAAGGAGCTGCCAGTGATGATGTTGTGGTAGACCATCACCTCCGTCGCTGAGAGCACATACTGACCAGGTCGGTGGTGGAGCCCAAGAGGGGAACACAACCAGCGACGGAGAGCACACACTTCGCTGAGATGAATCTCTCGATTTCACAGTTTGACACAAAAAGCAATCCTCTAGGTTTTAATGCACTGCTGAGATGCTGGGTCATGTTTCAACTTATTTAATATAGGAGGGGCTTGGTTCGTGTACAGCATGCAACAACCAACTGTATCCAACTGTTATCTACGCTTCCTTTGGGGCATGCAGGCAAATTCCGCACCCGATATCAGGCAGCGAGGGCGTGCAACGCCGGGTCTGATCGAACATGGGCCGATGATATCTTTCCCCCCAAACAAGCATGCACTAGAACCGCCCAAAACAGTCATGCTTCTCACGACTGCGCATCGCAACTACACTCACAACTACTGTCACCAAGATGCCGTGAGTTTATGGACAAAAGTGTCCAGTGAGTTTCTCCACTGTCGAAACGTGCGCCAATTCATCATGATGACCTGCGCGGCGACTCCGCGACACCGGCGACACCGGCGCCGGCGCCGGACGGCACCGGCGACACGTTGGATGATCCGCTGGGTCCAGGAGTCCAGGGTCCGGATGCTGGGTCGTGGGCGACCACCGAATCGTCGATAGGGTGGACACCTGACGATCCCAACTGCATTTCTTTGAGCTTTGGCGTAGAGGGTGGCACTCAAGAAGGCTGGTCAGGTCATTAGACCTATAACAGCGGAACCAAAAACAAAGCAGGCATGACGGCATGACTCATCCCCTCTCATCCCCTCTCATCCCAGCATTATTTAAAAAGCTGAGTTTAAAAAGGAGTCTCCAAAAACTTGGTCATGCGTTCTGAACTAAACTTGGTGAATGAACGAACTGAATTCAAATGGTCACAGCGCTGAACCTGCGATCGCTGGTTCCTGCGCTCGCAGCTGCGCCTTTGCATCGGGATTGGCCTTGGCCAATGGATCGAATAAGGTTTCCAGACCATCCAAGGCGATCGCTTCCATGCGGCAGCGCCCAATCCTGTGAGCCAGACGTCAGCTGACATCTACAGTGGACAATGTCCTGTCTGCTGTTTGAGGACAAATTTCTACCCCATTTGTGGATTAAAATATGTCTTCACTCTGGCGGGTCATTAACGAAGATCTACATTATGTTCCACCCAACACACTGTGCTGGACCAGCCGTCCGCGAAGCCATGCGAACGAAAAACCGGACCACGTTGAAAGCTGAACTCAGGGAGATCGGATGAGGTCGGTTTCAGGTACCTCTTGAGGATGGTCTTGGACTCTTGGAGGTGAAAGTACTTCAAGAGAATGGTCTTTGGGGTCAAAGGACATCCGATTCGGATGGTCCTGGACCCTTAATTGGGATGGGCGTCCATTGGAATGCAGCTCATACTCAAAGAGGAATATTTTGCTGAAGGTCGTTTTGCTCTGCAATGTGGTCGGGGAAGCAGGTTTGAATCCATGTGTCTTGTTTTCTTCAGAAGCAATCCGAAGCACACATTTTCAGGCTTCAGCACAGGTGGGAACTGTTTCCATGCAAGCATTGAGAGCCCCTCACAGCACAGCTGTTTGGGGAATGAACGTAAACATTTCACAATCCAGGAACCTTTACGCCGAGGTTCCTGCAAGCAATTTGTTTGTCATTGTGTTGTCCCTGACTGGTCCCTGAATCGGCCCCAACCAACCAATACCCAGCCCGAAAACATCTAAAAACACCCGCCCAGCCACTTCTCCATCAAGCGGGAGGCCAGCTCATCATCCTTTTGCATCTCCTGGAGGCTGTCAACGGGGCGATGGAATGGGCACTCTGCAGAGACACCCGGGTGTCGCGTCCCGGGTTCCGCATCGCTTTCCAACGTCCCAACGTCCGGCGACGCGTTTTCTGCGGGTCGGCCCGGACGGGGGACTCCCGGAGCACTCCTATCTATAGTAGGAGTTGGAGTATAGTAATGTAGAATGTTTTTAACATCAAACCAGCCCATGAGGCTTCTGAAACATCTTCACATATCTATATATTATATATATTATGGTGTGTGAATGTCATGAACATAGGGAGACCTCCGAGGAGACAACCCCCTGGAAGAAGGGACATATACCTGTCTACCGATTGGGCCAGGGGCCAGGGGGTCCCCCTATTGAAATACACATACACATGACTACACATGTGTCAGGTTATGTCAGGTGTCATGAGGGTCCCAATTTACTGTACCCCTCTTTTCTTCTTCTACATCACTAAGCACCCTTTGTGATAAGAAGGTGTTCTTCTTGCATCATTTGTGCATTTGCTCAGAAGGTGTTCTTCTTGCATCCTTGGCTCAGAAGCAATTCTTCCTGTTCTGCCTTTGGCAGGGTTGAGACCAGGTTTCTTTGAGAACAAACTGCCCGGTTGAAGCTTGCTTTCTGTAGTGCTTGCATTTGTGCCTGGTGCCAAGTTTTTTACCCCTCAGCGACTACCCGGAAAATTTCAGGATGACCCGATGAGTTGCAGGATGGTTTGGAACTTCAAGCTCTCCAACTGCAGGTGTTTTTACGGTGTTTTCACCTACTGACCACAACATGTTTGGCTAAAGCCACACTTTGGACGCTCCAAGTCAAAGCCACTGGCACAAGTGCCTGTCAAAAAGCAAAAACATACATCACCAAGTGGCCTTGATTCCAAAGACCAATCAACCAAGCAGTAGGCTACAGTTGTGCATCAAACGCAACAAACCAAGGAGAGCTTCACTTTGTGATTGAAAGCAAGGGTCCTCAACCTAACAATATCTGTGCCCGTTGGGTCTACCAAGTTTGTTTGGGACAATAAGGCTCAGTTCACAGCAAGGCTCTGGCCAAGTTGCTTCTTTTCAAGCCCAACGACCTCATCGACCCCCAGTGACCGCATCGACCTCCGTCCTGAGCTAGGTAGACCGAGTGCGTCCCATCCACACCCTTCCCTGCTCGCTGTTCATGGACAAAGTCCCACCAGGGGAGGAAGTGGAAATCCTCCAAACGAACTCAGCAAGGGACGGAAAAACCCCGCAGGATGCCCTGGATCGATACAACGGCGCATGGTTTTTGTTGGATTTCATGTGCCAATCACTCCACCAACTAAGAACGGCCACGTGACCCGAGTCTCTTCAAAAAGAAGGTAGGGCCTGTAGGGACTGGAAAAGGACGAAAAAGGTCCCTCTGACACCTTGCAACTTTTGTTGGAACTGTTTGGCCTCTGTCAACCTTTCCTTTCCAGCCCAAATGCAACCACGATGGTGGTATCTAGTATGCAAACGATCATTGTTTTCATGTGTTTTCTATGTTTTACTTGCGAGACACACTGCTAAACACACACACCAAAAAAAACATGTGACTTGGAAAGGCTGGAGAGTCCGTATACAAACAAATGGCGATCATGTGCGATGTCAATGGAGGTGAGGTGCCCAACGGTTCCTTCGTTAGCGGCGCAGTCAGTGGTGTTTAGTTTAGTTTAGGCTGAGAATGACTGAACAATAAAGAACCTGACTGTGTATGCAGAACATGTTGGGAAGCAGGACCAACTGTTTGTCAACTCTTTCCGTGGCCAAAATTCTGTTCAAACAGCTTCAACCTTTGAGAAGCGAACCATATGAGACAACGACAATGTGGGCTTTCAGTTCCAGTTCATACCATTCACATTCCAGTTCCATACATTCTCCCATCAGGATCGTTCCTAAGGCAGATGGTACTGGGTCGATGTCCAACTAGCACAGCAGCCGACTGCTCCTCACTATGATAGGCGCGGACTCCCAGCTCGTTGAGTGCATGGCAAATGGTCCGGGTGCCAGTCTTTGCCAAGCCCAAAACCAATACCTGTCAGAAAAAGTCAATACCTGGATCTTCCAACTGTGACACATTGATGCCTTTTCATCTATTAAAAAAAAAAAAAAAAACACACACACACACAAATAACGCCGAGCAGAAATGTGGCATAGTTGGAAGATGTTGGAAGATCCAGGCATGCTGAACAGAAACAGCTGGTCAGCTTGGATCGACTTGACACAGGGGACCACCAGGTGCGTCACTTGGCGGACGCAAGCTCTGGCGCATGGACCGTCCTGTCCATTGCGACATCCCCACGTCTCCCCACGTCTACTACTGCAGGTGTTCATGTTTGGCTTCTTGTGCAAAGGTCGCATCATGCGTGCTCCTGACTCAAATGCAAACGAAAAAAAGAGACGATGTGCAAAGCAACCTGTTCCATTAGAAGAGACCAGAGTTATGACTCATGACTCGCATCAGAACTCCAAACCACTCGCTCACTCCAACATAGATGTTGCATGATGTTGCTCGGTCTAAAGTCAAAAGCTGCTCGGTCAGCGCTTTACTTTTTCTTGGATTGAAACCTTCACCAGACGTGCCTTGATGCCAGAATGATTTCCAGGCAAGGGTGGATGAGCACACCCCACAGGGAACTCCGTGGCAAAGTGCCACCAATCACTGATCTTTGCATGCCTTGGTGCTGCGAACAAAACGCAAAGACATGGCATAACATGGCAAACATCCTGTGAACGAGTTCATGTTCCTGGGCGGCTGAACCGGGCTGAACAACAAAAACAAGGCTTGCTTCTACAGGCATAGACAATGAGATACCATGAGTCTGCCCTATCGGAAGCTTGGATCATCAACAAGACCGTTTGCCCAAACCCCAAGTTGCACACGAAACACCAGCACTCGAAGCCAACCGCTCTCACCACTCGGTGAAACGGGACGTCCCGCGTGCCGCGTGCCGAGGTCCCAAGCCGAGCCAGGTCCCACCCTCGCGGACCAGGCACAAGGATAGGGCGAGGAAGGCCATCAGCTTCAAGAGGAAAAGGAGCCATGCTAGCACTCTCCACATGCTGAAGGTCTGAAGACACTCTCCCCCCAAGTTTGGGGATCCAATGTGGGCATCACATGGGTCACATCACCTTCCCTTTCAGAAGGTAAGATGTCTGAGTGAAATCTTGGAGGAGTATGACGAGCACTGGGAAATATGACTCGTACCTACATATACATAATATACAAATATACATGCAAACATGTGCTGCTGCAGAATCACCTACGTGGTGCGGTTTTGGGCTGCTTGGCTGTGGCCATTCAAGTAGGAGCCTCTCATGACGAAGCCAAGGATCTCTGACAGAGACTCTCCAGACCGCTCGGATTGTCTTGTCTTGTCAGCTCCTTAGGATGGTGCTTCAGCTGCGAGCGAGTGCAAGATCGGCGGTTTTCATGCTGTCGGAGTGTCTGGTCCAGCTTAGCCGGTGGTCTGTTTCTTGGGCCAAAGGCTGCAGAAGGGCGAAGTGAGACGAGAGATGCAGCATCTCAGAAGGGTGGTGCATTGATCCAGCGATCCAGGGGAACTCACCGATGACCCAAAAGAAAAGGTCGGTCATCGATCCACGTGGAGAACTTCGGGAAGGCTTGGATGGGCCCATCCAGTGAGTGGATGTGTTCTGGGGTACCCCGACATAGACATGGAGACCCCGACATGGAACTGCAGCCAGGTTGTCTTTCTTTTCTTAACTAGGGTGAATTCATCAGCATAGATGCTGATTACTCAGAGACTGGTCGTGCCTGGCTGATCGTGTGATTGAAGGCGTCTCTGAAAAACCACGACATATCTGTCTGACATTTATCTTTCGGACTCAGTCGCTACGATCCCATCTAAACATTCTGAAAGGTGTTCCATGAATGAAAAAAAACACCACATTGACCACATGATGTTATTAGGTCATCCTGAATCGGACTCCTGATTATGGTATCCAGTAAGACCAGTATGGTATGACAATGGATGACATACGTATCTGTACCAGAACGTATTTTGGACCTTGCCTTGACAGTTCTAGATTCCCCATAAGTACCGGCCTTTGTAGAGAGCTCAACCGGGCCAGGCCCCGGAACGAGTCTTGACATGGGGTCTCAGGTGTTCATCCCACATTCACGTCATCCATTCACCCGTTTGCAAACACGGTCTTCGACTGACTGGTGCTTAGTAGGGAATGGATCCAAGTGAGTCTCTCTTGGGGGCTCATTCCCTCATTCTCTACTAAGCACCAGTCAGTCGAGGTTGAATGGAATCATTTACAACACCGGTTTGCTTCACTTCGGCGCCCCGGCATGGCTCATGCTTCTGACAGGCACGGGCGAGTGAGGCCTCTTCAGGCAAGAGGCAAGAGACGCCCAGAGGGGCGAGGGAGTCCACTATTAACCAAAGGTCTGGGTCAGTTCTGCAGGCTGAAAAGTGTGAACAACAAGTTAGTGCTGTTTTCTTAAACAATCCATTTTGGTCTGGCTGCTGACTTCTGGTGGGTATCCTTAAGGTGACTGTGGTTCTGGAACTTGTCCATCAATAGTACCTTCCCAAGAATATGTGTCTTCAGTGCTTATATATAGATTAAATATGTTTACTTGCTCGTTTGTATAATGTTCTCCTACAGGAGCAGCCATCTACTGTCTGCTTACTTGTCAGTAGAATCCTGCTTGCGTCCTTCAGCAGGATAATGATGTCAGAATCTGGCTGAAGCGTTCTGCTTTCATCAACCTGAACCTTTTGCCATTCGACCCAACAATTCGACCCATTCATCTCCTGGGTCAAGCGCCACGTCGCCGACACGGCAAGGATGCTTCAGACGCCCGGTGCGAGCAGTATGCTGCTTGTGGTGCTAGGTTGGTGCTGTGTCTTCAACGGAGTCTCATTGGTGGATCTGGTATTGACTGGTTGCGACTGGTTGCAGACTTGATGGATATTGTTCAAGCGTGATTGTCAGAAAGCTGGTTGAAACAAGGAAACATGATGACATCTGTTCCCATTTGGATCCATCCAGGTCCCAAAAGACCTTGATTGCGGAAGCCCACATGAGAAAGAGACCACCCCATGTGGATGGCTCATTCAGCTTGCCATAGCTCTCTAATTGCTAGGACCATCATCTTCTTGGGCCCTCAAACACTGCAGAAAGGGGAAGAACACTCGCGGAAACAGTCTCAAGAAGGGGCGGATGGAGGGTTGGTACCTTAACCTTAACAAGCGTGGTACCTCAATACACCCATTTTGAGGGGCTGGTGTATTGATGGGGATGGGTGGGCAGCCTGCATAAAAAGATACCAAAAGACACACTTCTTGCCAATGCTCACCTGGACCTCCAAAGCCACATGACACTGCGGCTGCAGTGTCACATGTAAAGGTAAAACACAGACTAAGAGTTAGTAGTTCATTCTTCATGCTGTTTTCGGTTTCCCCAATGAGTGAGTGGATCATGAAGCAAGTCACCAAGATCGCTTTCCAAGCTGGTTCAGAGACGCTCTTCCAAGCCCGGACAAGGGCTTGGAAAAGGCATTTTCGAGCCCCTTTGACACACATTTCGCACATTTGATACTTAAACAGTATCATATATTAAATACATCCCTTTATAGAAGGCTCATAATATGGTGTGCTTTTCCTCCCCTCCTGACTTTTTGGGTTGGACCACCGGACACCCTGGACGTAACTGGAAGGCCCGAACCTGCCTTACCACCGACCAATACCGCACCGAGTGTGGCACATGGCGTTCCTCACAGCCTCCTGCTGTGTGGAAGACAACCTCATCAGCAACTCCTGGCCGACGGTGACGCCGGGTGAGGAGGCTGGTGAGGTTTCAGGTTCGGTTGGATGGAACTCCTGATGGAACTCTGGTGTGCGTCCAAACGTCCAAACACATCATCGCCCTGTAGAGCAAGTTCACCAAGTATATAGTAGATCCAAACAGAAAAACCTAAAAGACAAGTAATAGATCGTTATTGTAGAATAAATGATGCAATCCGCAATCCAAACAATTCTTCGATAAAAGCTTTGACATGCTTTGACTCTTATCTGGACTTCTTGAGGCCCCCAAAGGCCAAGATACCAGTGACTCGATTGACTTCTTTGGAGACCACATGAGACCACCATCTGTTTGGGTTGCCGGATGCGTCAGCCATTCGGCGGAGTCCTTCGTTGGTGGCGTCATCTATCGACTCTGGATGGTGGGAGAGATCCATCGAACTCTGAACTCTGTTCCAACCATTCGATCTTTAAATTGACACTCAAGTCACTCAACCATTCAATCTGCATTAAATCCATCTAAACCCACTTAAACCTCCCTCTTGAAACAAACCGTCGTGACTCGGCGAAAAAAAAAGGAAACAACCGTTTCGACGCCCGAGTTTCGACACTGAGGACATGCAGCACGTCAGTGCTCCGGAGAAAAAAGGACTCCTCAGGTGCTTCCATCGATTCAGCCTCCGCCAAGCGATCGCTACAAACCTTCAAGATCTCCTGAGGCAAAGATGGAAAAAGCAGCTCTTCGGCATGGAGGGGGAAGGTGGTGTCTGTTCTGGTCTATGATGTGGAAAAGGTGGGGAAAACTAGCAAGCCGTCGCAGAATCCGCGAAATGGAGTTGTGGATAATATGTGTTTGACATCCTGCATTACTCCATGGATATGGAATGCAGCATGCGGGACGCAGCTCAGGAGGTATTGAATTTCGTTATCCAGGCATTGACATGATGCAGGCTCAAAGAATTCATTGACAGACAATGACCAAAACCCATTGAAGGGCTTCATGAAATACCCCCGGCACAGTTCCGAACCATGAAGGCTACCTAGTGGTACCGAATCTGAGTGTATATATATATATATAGCAGGTGTATGTTGAATAAAGGAGAACCACGACCCCAATGTTCTGCGAACCACAAGGATCGCTGACACAGGAGAAACTCCTGACCAATCCTGACCTATATCGATTCCAACATGCTCAAACCTGTTTCAAGATGCTGTTCCTTCATATTCCTTCCGCATAGGACAGAAACAAACATCGCAACACAGCGAAACCATCCGACCGATGGCAAAAACCGAGTGGTGAATCTCTTGACCGACACCGACCGAAGACACCGACTCGGTCGGATCCAGGGCCTCTGAAGGTGTTCCGTTGAAGCGACTCGCCGTCCAAGAGTTGATGATGGCACCTGATTTGTTCAGTTTGACTATCAATGACTATCTCTGACTATCAAACAACCATATAAACAGTTCAGGTTGTCAATTTGATCAGTTTGTTCAGGACGGCTCCATAGAAACACAACCTGACGTCATCTCTGCGCAGAGAAACATTTCCTGTGCTGAAGGTGCCGTCCTGTGAGGTTTCATGATGCACGCCAGGTGAGGTTTCATAGCATAAAGGAACGAGAAAAGGACGGCATGTCGAAACTGTGTTGGGTGCTGTTTCACTGCCGCTTTCCAGGCAATTCTGAAGTTAAACTGGTGGGGATGCTCGCCGCACAAGGGGGCCTTCCAGAGGTTACCTTATGAATCCTTATGACAAAAATATACAAAAATCAACCTGTTTCTTCAACAAGACGTTGTGGGAAGGGCCTGGTCTGAAAGGACTTGACCACACTTCGCTTGTTGACAATCGCAATCAGCCCTTTGAAAGGTCTTTGATCTCCATGAAGTTCACGTGGCGGAGAAAACATATGATCGTTCGGCCCTCATAGCGTTCAAATCTGATCGTATTTTTTGCATGTGCCGCATTGAATGGGAGACCATTGTCGAATACCAACTGTTGCATATATATATAATTATATATATATTGTTAGATATTGTTAGAGAAAAATCTCTTGTTTGAGACCTTGCACCACCCAGCGGCCAACGCCAGCTGTGTGCGGACCTCGAAGAACTGGGCAGAATGGCACCTGACCAAAATGGGGTTGGCAATGCATTGCTGAGCTGCTGTCCAACCAACAGCAAGTCAACCTCCTACACAAACTCCACAACTGAAGCAAACAAACCACAGGAAAAAGCAACGGCACATCTCGTCACAACTACGCGCTTGTGATTGGGAGGCTACTTGGCAACAACTTGCCATCACTTTGGTGCCGTGCCTTCTTCCCAAGCAAGTTCTTTATTGCTTCTCGCTGGCGTGCTGCGATGGTGGCATAAATAGCCTGAAGCGATCAGGACTCTAGAGTCCCTTGTCTCACGTCACTGTCAACATGGGCTATATAAAGAGAATCTAAAGCTTTGTCTGAAAAAAAGGAGCGATGAACAACCTTGACAACAAAAATGCTACAAGTACCATAAAATCATTCTGTTGATTGAACACGTTGCCGGCTCCACTCAGGGGTGGTAGCGCTTCAAACATCGTCCTGGTTCAAGCCCTGTCTAGTTTGTTGCATACATCCCTGCAGCATCCTCGAGTGGCATCACATCCCATGACTAGTGCCGACAACGCCTCACTAACATGGCTCAGGCATGACAGGCCATAGACCAAGTTGATGTTTTTTGTTCCATCATCTCTCACGCTTGCAGAGGCCGGCCATGTTGTAATTCAAAGGAAGGTGGTCGATGGGCTTCGGCATTTGTTCAACGCTGCTGGCCGCTTAGGCCACCTTCTAGCTGGTCTACAGCTACACAACGCTGGGCGCGATCCCAGACTGCCTCTTAACCAGAGACAGGTTGTATCGGTTGCAAATTAAATGAACAATAATGCTTGCTGATTTGGAGCCGTCTCGGTCAAGATCTAAATCTATAAAGCAAATTGAAACAGGTCCTGGGACGAAGCAGCAATCGCTGTCAGCAACAAATGTGCCAAAGCGTCATACAACATCCTACGCCTTTGACGCTTGGCACAGCCGTTTCTACTAGCCAGTCGCCTACACGGACCCCAGGTCTACCATGGTCTACCACCCCAATGTAGGCAAAATTGCCAGTCAACCCCCTTTCCCTGGGGATCCAGTCGTACCTTCTCAGGTACGGTGATGTGTTCGACACTGTTATGTAGGTGCCAAAACGTCGGGTCCGGTCGTACCGAACCTGAGGGTCCGGTACCTTCCTAGATCCCCAAAAGGGTTGATGGATGTTGATGGTTCTTTTTGCCGGGTCTCTCAGGGTGAAAGCTGAGGTCAGTGGAGTGTCTTTGACAGGACATGAAAAGACTTGGTCAGTGGAGTGTCCCTACAGATCAAAGACCATTCAGAAGACCTCATCTACTGAATGGATCCGGATGAAAATGGTGAATCCTGGATGAATCCTGTATGACGCCTGCACGTCTTGACCGGTCTGCATCCTGGCTAAGACTCCGACCAGCGGGTGGCAGCACATGCGCCTGGCGCCGAGATCCAAGACAATTTCCTGCCATCCTGGCGAAACCCAGATTTGGCCTGAATCAAAGGCCATGTTGGCCTTCAAGATCTGTGCATCTCCCAAATGCACTGGTGCAAAACATCACGCAGAACCCCTCAACCTCGGAGACTGTCACTCTCTCCGCCACACACGGCGCTGAACGTCCTCCGGCTGCGTCCGTCTGCCGCGCCTCCTCTGGAGCGCGGTGGACAAGGCCGCGCAGGAACTGCTGCTGATCGCCTGAGGGAACTGCCGCAGAGAACTGGCGCGGTGTCGGTCCCACCGGACCCCAAAGCAAAGGCTTTGGAGAAGAGTAAAAGCGAATCTGCCTGTAAAAGCGAAATGGGGCACTCTGAAGAGTTTTTGAGATTCCTAGGTTGATTCCTGCTGAGCGCATGGGGGCAAGTCAAGGAGTACAGTCAGCTTAACATTCATGCACACGTTGGCCTGTTCCTGAGGGCAGTCTTGACTTGGCACCACTTCATCTGATGAATATCTTCTGCCTCAATGACATCGGCTTTTCCCAGGCGACTTGAACACGACGTGGGCGAATTCGGCGAAATACCGCGCTGGGCGCCCGCGCGCGCACCACGAAGCGCGTCTCGTCGATGGCCTCGTGCCCAAAAGGGTGGGTTGCTACGTACCAAACTCCCCCTCCAAGCTATAGACCTCCACTAGGTGGACACCCTAGTATCCTCCACTAGGTGGTACTCCATCAGTTGGCGGAACTCCCTAGTGGAACTCCTCCAACCTCCAGCCACCTATGGTGCTTCACTTTGCATCCAAAGCAAACCTGTGGAATGCTGGAACAGGTGTGGTTACCGTCGGTTTCAGACGGTCGTTCCATGCGGCCCGGTCCGAGCCTCGCAAAGGAAGTTGGCCTCAGGGCACAGGCTGAAGCCACCCAGCACGGTTCTGATGCCCCTTCTGATCCCTCTGACATCTTCACCGTCGAATCTGGTGAAGATTTCTCGGAAACAGCCGCGGGATCTCCTGGATCTCTCTCTCTCTCTCTCTCCGAAATCAGGTCCAATGGCAGAGTGAAAGCCCGTGGTCAGGAGCCATGTGACATGGCTGGGTGGTCTAGGTTAATGGTATAAACAAGTTCACTCGTAGATTGCCTGGTTCTCGCCCATGCCGCACTGGTTCGCCCGACAGATCTTGCCATGTTCTTACTAGTAATGGCCTCCACCCTAGTAGCGATGGCCTTGTTACTAGTAAGTAGAACCGGTATCCTGGGTGTATCACAAGGCTCAAGTTCCCACTTCAGGATCTTCATCTTTCGTCCGTGCCCGGTACTCTCCGGTCCACCGGGCAAACGGGTCCCAATTCCAGCCAACTCAGCACTGCCCGTGAACCAAGCCTCATCACAGCTCAGCATGATGGCATCCACCTGATTGTGGAGGAAGATTGGATGGCAAAGGATTGATGAGAACAAGTGCTGACAAAACCAAATCTTTCCGAAGCGAGGTCGACTGGTTCTCACCAACCAAATCATACAGCGAGCGCCCTGCTCGCCTGCGACTAAGCAAGCACTGGATTTCCGCAGATTGGGTACTAAAACGTCCGGCGTGAAAGGACAAGTCGGACTGACCTACCATACCATGTATATATATATATATATAGAATCCTCGATGTCGTTTGGACGAGAACCCTGCAAGTATTTGTCTTTGGAAGGAAGGCAAAAGGCACCTGACAAAACTGTTTCACATCAGAAGCGGAGGCTATATAAACCTATTAGAAACAAATTGAAGGATATACTGTAGACTGTAGTGAGAGAAAACAGGCCTGCCTTGCCCTTGAGGACTTCTGACAATGAGCAGGTGAAGCCACCCTGCCGCTCTCCGATGTCCGTCCGTCTCTAAACAGGCCCGATGGACGATCGATCTTCAGGTCGCATGGCCAGTGTTTTAGAAAGGAAAGACGCATGGTCAATCTACTTGAGTTGTCATCCATATATATATATATGTCCGTTCAGCTATACTGTTGTATACTATAGTAATATTGTTTGTGAATCACGTTGGTCACAGAGTGTCAGCCTCATTTTGCTTCACGCCTGCAGCGGTTCGAGATCCTGAACTTTGTCAAGAGCATTAAGTGACAAGGTGAGACGGGCGGCTGAGTCGGCAACGAACACTCGGAGCGGCCACGTTGAGGAAACGATCCTTTTGAGGAAAAGGAAGCGCGGCATCTGTATATTATACAGGAAATCACACCAACCAGCACCAAGAATTGGTCATCTGTATATACTGTATACTGGATACTTGGGATACTTGGGATTCGTCTCATTCAAAAGGTATGTTCAGCATCCACTCATTCCTTTCCACATCGCGAGGGATCACTTCGATTCATCACCTCCCATTTTCCTCCAATGAAACTGCCCTCACCTCCGTGTTTGGCGGCCTCAAAAGCAGGTCTGTGACGGACAACGCCGAAGCACTGAAGCTTGGCGCCCAACACGGGCGACGCCCGGAATACAAGGAGGATCTAATATCTGTACTGTATGTTCCCCTTCCCTAGCGACCCGCGCGCTTTTTGAAAGCGTGTCATGTGCAACATCCCAGCCCGAGCTGAAGGAGTATCCAAAGGGGAATAACAAAACACATCTCCTTCAATTGGATTCAATTGGAAGAAAGGATGCTTTAGTGGCCTTTACTGGATAAGAACTTGGGTTATGGTCACCGGTTGGGAAAGGATCGCATGTCCTGCATCACAAGCAGGATCTGCTTTTCCTACTCCGGGCCCTGCAAACCCCCTCAGGATCATCTCACTGCCGCCGTTGGTCTATATAGCTGGTAGCTGTTGACACTCAATCAACATGCACATGGTTTAAAAAATAGTGGAAAACCACTTGATATAGAGTAAAATGGCCATGGAAGAGGGGTAAGGGATCAAAATAAAAATAAAAATAGAATCAAAAAATGTTCAACGGGGATCAATAAAAAATAAAAAGGTAATCAAAAAAAAATATTCTAGCCCACTGAGGATGGTTGGGGTAGTAGTAGTAGTAGTAGTAGTAGTAGTAGTAGTAGCAGTAGCAGTAGCAGTAGCAGTAGCAGTAGCAGCAGCAGCGTAGCAGTAGCAGTAGCAGTAGCAGTAGCAGTAGCAGTAGCAGCAGCAGTCAGCAGTCAGCAGTCAGCAGTCAGCAGTCAGCAGTCAGCAGTCAGCAGTCAGCAG